GAATTATATCGTATCGACCGAAATTAAGAAATATATCGTGATATCAATTTTGGCCATATCGTCCAGCCCTAATTATGACTTATGTTTGGTGGAACAGAAATGAGACACTTCATTAATAAATCCATACAGTAAAAACATGCAGTACATACATCAAATAAGATTTTATGGGTGAAATGTGCTTAGTTGTCAGTGTCATGATGCAAAACTTAATCATCCCAAAAAAGCAAAATCAAATGTACAGTGGGTACGGAAAGTATTCAGACCCCCTTAAATTTTTCACTCTTTGTTTGCAGCCATTTGCGGGGGTCTGAATACTTTCCGTACCCACTGTATGTCTTTCTTTCAATTTTGGGGTGAAATATGACCTGGATATGTTCTTGATTCACCCAGTTATGTAAGTGTCCGTGTAACATTTGCCTTGGCTAATTATACTTAAGCATTTATCTGCAGTGAAATATATCACTAGCTGACATAGACATCAGTTCGTTATTTATCTTAATTTCTTTTCCAATTGTGTGATAAGGTCAGCAGACACACTGATTATATTGAAGAATACTAATATAGATAAATATGAGAGGCTTTGCATTTTCAAACAAGAGGCAAAGCATTTGTGGCAAAGAGGAGTTTGGGTTGGGGTTTGCTGCTGAAATCTGGGTGGAAGTCAGAGCTTTATTTAAATGTTGCATCTGCAGTCGTCATTCACAGGTTCTACACTTTCTTGTTCCATATATGCTTGTTTATTTCATATTTTGATGTTTTCCGCTACCAGAAAGTTAGCTTGATTGAGCACGCTGTGTCATATTTAAAGGGGTCATATGATGCTATTTTAAAGATCATTATTTTGTGTATTTGGTGTAACAGAATATGTTGACATGGAACGAGCCGTTTTAGGGGGGCGTGGCAGAGTCTTAACTTTTATAAAGAATATCTCTTTGGATTTCAGACTTTAGTCTTTGCAACTTTACAGATCTTCTTCATGCACCAAGAGCTTGTAACACTCCAACGAGAAAGGAAAACTTGAAATCGCATCATATGACCCCTTTAAAACCCACTGCATAGAATTTTGCATTTTTCAGGACAGAAAAATACAAAAATAGAAAAAATAAGATTCCCTGTGTCAATAAATAACATATTCATAGTTCAAATTAACATAATATTTTAAGTCAGTAAATTTCTCTTTATCAATCAAGGTGAAATCAGTATGATTAATACTGACGCTTTATTTCAGCTGTTTTGCTACATTTATGCTAGCATTATTTTAGCCATCTTTGACAAACTCGTATCGTTTGATCACTAGCTATAACGGTGTGAAAATGTGTAAAAGACAGGAAGTGAATATCCGTTCATGTGCGGTGAGCACTCTAGCAGATGCACTGTATATTGAAAGTGAGAAAACTGTGCTGTGGGACAGAGAGATGTCAGACATAACTGATGACTCGTCTGCCTTCTGATGGATTCTGGATGAGACCGGAATGAAAAAACTTCACACAGCTTATCCTTAAATCAAAAATACTCTTTTGTTGTAGATGGAGCCAGAGGGCTGGGATCAAAGCAATTCCCACTTTCCTCTTTCCCAGTCTATTCATTTTTTTTTTGACAGCCATTCAAGTGTTTGAGCGTCTTCAAAGGATTTATTCCTGGAAAACGGTCAGTGGGGTGTCAAACCAACCTGGAGGTCACATTTATATTTAGTTCCCATTAACTGTATTGAAGGGTTTCTCAATTGTGCCATCGTCAAGGGTCAAATTTTGTTCTCCCTTTAAGCAAAGAATAGCAATTGAACAGAAGTTGGTTTTCTCCCTGCAGAGACCGAGGCATTCCATCTCTATTCCATGGAGACAGCGGCCGCCCCAAAGAGTAAGACCCTCCACACGTCCCTCTGGCTTCCTGTTCCTCTGCTGTTCCTCTGCTCTGTGCTGCTGCTCGCCGGTTATTACAGATTCTGCAGAACCAACCATTCTACACAGATATTACTGAGAGCAAAGTTAAATAGAGGTGTTCTTGTGATTTGTGTTTTGCAAATGAATGGTTTACAAACAAAAAATAAATAAATCTGTCATTTATTACTCATAAGATTCCATTGTTATTAAAGTGGTAGTTCACCAACAGATACAAATTATGTTATCATTTAATCACCACCATGGCTTTTCAAACCTGTATGACTTTCTTCTGTGAACGTAGAATAAATGTTGAATAATGGTGATAACAGTTTTGGTTCCCATTGACTTCCTTTATATTTTTTGTCCATGCAATGGAAGTCAATGGGAACCAAAACAGTTTGGTTAGCAACATTCTTCCAACTTATTGGATGAACTATCGCTTTAACTAAAATTATTAAAAATCACTTTTATTCATTTAAATAACGCTGTAAAAAATGAAAATGAAACAAATAATAAAGAAAATAAAATAAAATAAATAAATAAAGCAAGCTATATTGAAATATAACATTTAAAAAGCACTTAAAAAATACTAAAATTTGAAATTTAAATAAAAATAGAAAAATAAAAGCTAATTCAAAAGATTGTGATGTTCCAAACTAGCATGTCTTTTTCTTCTGTGTGAGGAAAAAGGAGATAATTTTCAGAATGTTCATGCTGTTCTTTTTCATACAAAAAAGAAATGCCCATACGGTCTTCTGAAGTCATGTAATATAATAGTTTTGTGTGAAAAACAGACCAAAATTAAAGTCAGCACTCACTGAAAAACTTTACCATCCCACATATGCTTTCATGTTATGGAAGAGAGCAGCTTGAATGTTCTTCAAAATATCTTCTTTTGTGTTCCACTGAAAACGTTTTATTTATTTTTTTATTTTATTTTTGGTGAAAAAAGTCATGGCCTAATGGTTAGAGAGTCGGACTCGTAACCCAAAGGTTGTGGGTTCAAGTCTCGTACCGGCAGGGATTGTAGGTGGGGGGAGTGAATGTACAGTGCTCTCTCCCACCTTCGATACCACGACTGAGGTGCCCTTGAGCAAGGCACCGAACCCCCAACTGCTCCCTGGGCGCCGCAGCAAAAAATGGCTGCCCACTGCTCCGGGTGTGTGTTCACGGTGTGTGTGTGTGTTCACTGCTGTGTGAGTGCACTTTGGATGGGATAAATGCAGAGCACTAATTCCGAGTATGGGTCACCATACTTGGCCACATGTCACGTCACTTTCACTTTTTCACTTAAAAGTTTGGAAACCTTGTCAGTGTCTTCTCGCAGCTCTCTCTCAGCCAGCTTTTCTTGGCGGTGGTGGCAGGATTCAAACTCTCTCCTTTTTCTGTCTACCGCTGTCTTTTTGACCCCGCTACTTTGGATAAGCTATTGCTCGGCAGCTTTGTTGTCACTTAAAATTAATCGTTTTCTTTTACTAAATCATAGTTAATTATTTTTTCGAATTTCTGCCAGTGTTTAATATCAGCCACATAGAGGCATTATCCCCCAATTAAAATAATTTCTGTGCGGCATTTTCAAATGCCTCGTCACCTCCTCCATTGTCTCCATATTACATAACTCCACTGTTGTACTGAAGAATTAGGAGCTGCTTCCACACATCAGTAGATTCATCAACCGCTAAGGACAGATCTTAATCTCAGTGACTGGGATACGGCCTGTTTTTGATGTTATGAATTCATTTTTTGTTATTGAATTAATGAATTTCCACCCTAAAATGACAACCCAGACTGTGCTGATGTTATGTAATCAGTGTCCTTTCAGTTACCGCAGCATTCTGTCAATCACTGAAGGGTGTGGACGTCATGATCAATGAATGCTGACTCCAAGTCAAGAGTTGCTTGCAAGTCATTAGACTTTGCTAACTTTCAGAAATGTCCTGCTTGGATAAATTGCATTGATATATTCAGATGCAGGGCAGAACTCCTACTTTTACCCTTATATCTTTTCAGACAGTGTCTTGTAGTCTGACATTTAACTGGTTGGACTAGTGATTGATGATGGTGAATATATGAAATGACATCCTGGACATGTTGTACTCTTGTTCTCCTGCATGTTTACAAGTTTACCTGTATGTCTTGGTGTTTACTTTCTTGGGTTTTTGGACTCTAGATGGTCTTTCATGGTTAAGCTTGGGTAGTTGACTGACACTCAGTTCACCTGTGACTGTATTGGTCAGGGCTGGTGCAACCAAATATTTCGCTGTTTCTTATTTGCATTATGCATGATTCTTATAACCTTGGGATGATAGATGGTGTTTTCTCAGTCGGATTTGTTGTTGCATTACTGCTTCGTCTGCTCTGCTGGGAAATCATGAAGGCAAAGTTTTAACATAAATCGCAGCTGCTTTTTTTCACACTGCACTGTGGTTAGTGTCTTCATTTGGTTTCACTGTGTTTGTTTTTTTGCTTACAGATTGAGAAGATCATGACCCTAATTGGAGCCGGCATCGACTTTTCCAAAGACCAGGAGTGCCCTGCCACAGGTATCTTTTTTGTTTAAAATAAATCAATCAATCAATCAAAAATAACACTTTTCAAATCTGATCTTTAGAAAATCTCAAAATAAATATCAGATTCTCATTGTACATTATTATGTAGAGATGCCAAAATGTATTTTAGTTATTTTTTTAGTTAATTTGTTTTTTAGATTTAATATCGGCAAAAACATGAAAATAATTGTCAGCTTATAACTACAGGTGCACGAAAACTGTATTGTGCTTTATAATGTGCCTTTCGTGCGGCTTAACAGTAACAGAATAGTATACACAATATCGCATTTGGATCGTCCCGTCTAACCAATACCCAATCCGACAGAAAATGTAAGTATCGACATTTTCGGAATGGCGCATCCCTATTTATTATCCTAAATTCATTACAGTGTACAAAACAATCGGTCTGAATTGTAATATTGTTAAAGGAGAACACTTTAACAATATTACCGTATGCCTTCTATTAATAGTAAAGTCCTCTGGTTTCATTTTACAGTAAATAGAGTCAATAACTAAGGCGCAAGAGGATAGCAGTTGCATTTGAATGAAATGAGAGAGAGCGCAGCGGTGTGTTATCCAGTGTTGCTGATGCCAACAGTTGTTGTCATGGAATAACACACTAGGGCTGTCAAAAAATAATTCGAATTTCGAATGTTTGTCGAATTTAAAATAAAAATCCACATTTGAATGCAAAAACGTTGCATTCGAATTTTAGGTGTGCGTCAGGCTGCCTTATCAGTGGCGCACAAGATGCGATGACGAAGCAAGTGTCGTTGCATTTTAATGTTTTTCTTATCTTATCCAGTGGAACCCACTAGATGCGGCGCTGCTACGTTGTTCATTTAAAATATTGCGGGAAAAGAGAACATCAATGCGGAAAAGTGTTGTTTACCTCAAAACTGAAACCAAGCCGTTCACACAGAGCGCATATTTATCGCATTTTCTAGACTAGAGGGATGTCTATCACCGCTGCACTCATGTCTCGCACAAGAGAGCCGCATGTTTAGAAAGCCATGTAAAATTAATGTAAGTTCAACTTTTAAAAAACGTGTCTCGAGACTTTATAGCGTTTTTTTCCCCATCCCACTGCATCTCATGTTTTTAAATGAAAAAGTACTCTTTGTGATCGGTTTTCAGTCCTTTATATTAAACTACACATACATACATGATGCTGTTTTATTTCTAATTGTTTAAGCATCTTAATTAATTATATATGGTCTATAAACATTTTAAATGGCACTTTTTTCAAAGATAGTGGTGTTATTTTATTGCTTTAATAAACGCCCATTAGTAATATTTTGCTCGATGCACCCTCTTGTGACCTCAGGAAAGAAGCCAAAAGCTTTTTTCCCCCTAACTGAAATTATGCCTTTTAAATTTGAATATTGATAATATTTAAGTACACAATTCGAATTTAGTTTTTCAGCCATTTTGACAGCCCTATAACACACCTTGGAATGTCGCGACTGACCAATCAGAGTCAAGTAGCCTATTCCAGAGAGCCATTTAAAAAATAAATAAATAAATAAATAAATCTATCTGGATAAGTCTAACATCATGTGCTGTCATTCCATGTCCAAATGCTCCTTCAGGTACCAAAAGCAAACAGCCAACAGTACAAGGATGCACTCATGGTGTTCTGTAAATACTACTGAAAAATCATGACCCCAAAAGCTTAGCTTAAAGGTGTACTATAAATGAATTGTGCTTATAAATGGCTGTTGAGATGGCACTCTCACTTGAAACAGAATAGAAACTTGGACCTGGAAACAGTATACGACATGTCACAATCAAGTGGATTGTCTTTAACTGAGAAGAGAAGAAATAATGTTTTGTTTTTGTTCTTTTACTTTTCTTATTGTATTCAAAGCTTTGGCCTCCTAGTTGTAGCTGACCATCAAGTGTCTTCCTGGAATGTATGTTTTAAATGAGGATCTGCCTTTGCATCGGCTCCCCTATGAAATGAGACCCCTGACCAAACAATCCAGCAATGAAACTCAATAACCTATTGATGGGCAAGAGAAAGATGAAGGCCAAGTCCAGAAGAGTTACATTAGTGAACCGAGGATATGAGGTTGTCTGGCCCTTTAAATGGAGAATGAGAAATCCCAGTGTGCCGTTGAAGGACGAGGGGACACTTGGGAGTTAAATCAATGGACGCTGAGACGCTTGACGATTCCGCCTTGGTGATGCGTGACCTTGTTCTGTATGGAGGCAGCTTATTGACCTTCCTCTGGAATTAACCAAACTTCAGCAATCAAGACCAGAGGGGCCGTCACGCTTGCTGTACCATTCACTCCCGTTTGGCAACTCCGGCAAAAATGGATGGGAAAGCTGCTGTAAGCCTTGAATAAAGTACCCTCCTCACATCAGTGTATCTTAAAACCTGTAAACACCATTTCAAGTGGTGTGTGTCTCTGCAAGGAGCCTTTGTGTTCCAACTGGGTTCATTGGCCCATATAAGTGCAAAGCCTAGCTAGAGGACCAGTCCTTCCTCTGTCCTTGGTCACATGGCACTGCCTCTGACCTCATTTCCTGTTTCCTGCGGGCATCCTACTTGGACATGACTCTTGGTTTTTAATTTTATTAGTGGTGCTTATTAAAGCCAGCATTTATTACTTTTGCTCCTACTGACGTTAGGAATTTGAACAAAACTGTAAACAAAGTATTATCCTGTGAAGGCCCTGCACTGTTTTTGCTTTCGATATAAATGATACCATAAATCATGTGGCTTGTTGAGGAGCGGTGCTTTTATTCTAAGAACTCAGCCTTAAGATTTTTGGATAAGCAATAAAATGGGAAAATAAATCTGGGGACGTTTTGTTCAAAACCAACAAACCATAATCTAAATATCTCAGAGAACACTCTAGCATGCTAATCTGGATACACTTGTACCATTTAGCTAGTCATAATGCTTTTTTGGAATCTAAAGTGTGAAAATGTATAATCTTTTGAGCAATACAGAACTTTGACTTTGCTTGCCTCTTCTAATACCACTGGAGAACTCTGTAACTGGTGGTTTTGCAATTCATTTATAAGGCATTTGTCACATCATCAACACAGTATTTCATTAATAAACTCCTGCAACAGGATAGTTGGCAGAGTTTTTCCGCTTTGTTTCTGTCTATGTGGATAAAGGTGCTAAAATATTAACATGCATGAGTGTCAGGGGAATTAGAAGAAGAACTGCCCTGCAGCTTGGCAGTAAACCCAGAGCTACGTCCTCCAGCCTAGAAGCTCTGCATATGCCTCTGTGTTTATGCTTTGCTTGCTGGGTACACACTGTTACGCTTTGTGTCTTTAATCAATGCCTCTAATATTGTTACAATAGTCAACAATACACGAAAGAGTAATGGTCCCGGTTGGGGACAAAGGTTTGATGAGTCCTTAGATAATGGACAGCAGGCCCGCATTTTCTTTTCGGGGAAGAGCGAGCGAGGCAGGGAGGGGAGGAGACAGGGAGAGGGAGGGGGAGCAGGAGCGAGCGAGAGAAAGAAGGAGACGGAGCAGCAGCGCTGCAGAGCAGAATTGACAGCGTCCGGTTGAACAAGGAGACCGCACCTTCGGATTGCTGCTGCGTTTCTTACAACATCCAGACTTGTCCGCACCGCAAGTGTGTCAAGTTTTACCGGCATTCTCTGGAGCAGGCAAACACCCCACTGACCTTGCATTACTAATTCAACAGCAGCCGCGACGTCTCGAGGAACTAGAGGGATAACGAGATGTCTGCAACGTACTCTGAGGATTGACTGATGTGGGACGAGCACCCACTTTCTCTGTTCGGACTTCTATAGGACTCTGGGAGACTTTGTCGTGTTGGAAAAGCAAGTCTTGTACTTTTGCAGTTGGGTGTCTCTGATTAAGTTGAATGACTCGGGTGGATACTACTTCTCATTGGTTTTTCCATTCGTTTTTGCTTTTTAATTCGGTTTTGATTACACCGACGTTTATTGGTGAGGCTTACGCTTTGTGCTGTCTTCTGCATCTAAATTTAATCAAAGTCAGACATTCTTGTTTTGGAATAAAGTTGATATCAAGAGTTTTATTCAAGCAAAGACTCTGAAGCTTTTTTTGCTCTTTGCCTACATCTCATGAACCTTTGATCCTGAGAATCACAGAGTGACTTTGTGCAGTGCAAGTCATGCAATCTTGCCTGGCTTTTAAGTAGCGCTATCATAGAGATTGGATTAGAAGTTCATTTGCATGAGGAGTGCAGTACGCAAGTTAAGAGTTTCCAGGCTTACGGTAGAGTCCCATAGCAATTTTTAGTCACTCTTAGGAGATCAGGAGATTGTGACGTTTTCGGCATCAGTTCAAGGGATCGGTAGACATTGCTTGGGAGTAATGCCTGTTTGAGAACTTTACTTGTGCATCTACCTCCACATGGACACCCATGAGGGAATACCAACTTTCAATCATCTGATCCTCTACTGTGCTCTTCCTCATTAAACACCCCAGTCAATTAGGAGCTAGCCTGTTTGGGATTATAAGGAAACTGGATTGATTACAATGGTGCATATCGTCTTCTGTGACTTTTTGGGTTGTGAAATCAAACCTTTGATTCATAGGGTGATTTATGGGCTCAAATGGAAACTTTGATAATTGCTGGTCTTGGCACCCAGTTGTACTTCATAGTAACCTCTCAAATGTAAATTGATTCAACAAAGACATAATGTGGAGTCTAAATCTGTGATCAGTCCCAGCGTTGGGCCCCATCTTCTTCCCAAATTCAGCTACAGCAAACTTCATTCTTAGCAAGCGTGGTTTCGCCCCTGCTGTGGGAGCGGCCACACCTCTCGGCCGGGATCCTGTCACCTCTGCCGTCCTTGTGTTTGTGCTCTCGGCACTGTTGGCCGAGGATGATGTGGCAGTGCCACGTCTCTTCCTCCGATTGCCGATGCTACCGTCTCAATGGTTTCTCGCTGCTCAAGCGCCTTCCTTTGTCCGCAGGTGGATCCAGGAGGCTGCTTGAACAGCCGGTCGGGGATTGGTTGGAGCATATAGGCCTTCCGCAGTATGAGAGCAAGCTACTTCTCAATGGCTTTGACGACCTGCGGTTCATGGTGAGTAACTCCTACCTAGTTGTCTATTACAAATAAAAGCATTTCACTTTGCTACTCTACCTGTACCTACTGTGCCGTGCTACCTACATTTTTCTGTGCCTTTTTCTTTTTTATCAAATCTGATTGTATTTAAGAAAATTATCACACATTACTTGTCATCAAAGAGCTTTTGTATGTTTTGCATGCCATTTTTGATTCTGGTGCTTATGGATCATGGCCAGTTACTTAGATGTTGCTTTCATGCAAACACTCAGAAAGAGAGTTTTCTAGTACCTTGAATAAATAATCATTAAGTGTTTACAAGTGTGCTGCCGTAGCAGAGCGAACCTGCAGCCAAGCGAACTTCTGTAGTAGCAGCAGAACTGTCAGCATTCTTCTTACGCTGGGAGGTCAAATTAACAGTGAGCGTTCTTTGGTCTTAACATGATTTGCCATAGCAAAAATAGGCACTTAAGGCGGATGTCCTGGTCTTTATCCAGGCCCTGAATGATCAATCATTAACAACCTAATTAGGACGTTGTTATGAGATTGGATGCTACGTGGAAGTTTGATTTAGATCTCAATCACTTCCGATAACTGCACACTATAGAAAACAGAAGTTTATAAAAACACTAGCCTCTGGAAAATAGGTTTTGACAATCTCAATAAAGAATATGTATTTTTGGTGCTAAGGCACCAAATTTCATCACCAAGAATGATACCTCCATTCTTTTTTTTTGAGTAAAGGTGAGCTAATACTTTTCTAAGTGACTCTTTTGATGAATTCCACCTGGTGGAAGATACAACAGGCCGAAAGTTTTCTTTGTGACTCGAGTCATGTCTAGGGAGTAGGATATCATAGACTGGCATTGAGATCTTTCGAGACTTGGGCAACCCAGAACTATTTTCTCAAGCAGTTTATAACAGTCTTTTCTCAAAAAGTGTATAAATATAGTTGCAATTGGTTACACTAAAGAAGCTCTTCTCTTTTTGGCTATTGATTCATATGTTTTTGAGGATTCGTATTTTGGGACATGGCCCACAAACAGGTTCTTCACCAGATTGAGAAGCCCATGAGGCTTTATGAAAGAAGCCTGATGCCTTATAAGGGGCTGTGTTGTTTTTACCATGTGAGGTAATGAGAATTGATGGTGATGCGGTTGAAAGCCTCAGCTGGCCGAGGGAGGCGATGTGTGTGTTGTAAATCAGAGATACAGACGGGTCCCTGGTCACCCTATGTTCCACGCCGAGCGCCACCTCATTGCAGGAGTAATGAAGGTTTTATAGCCAAGCTGGTCAGCAGTAGGTGAGTGTGTGTGTGTGTATGTGTGTGTGCGTATGTGTGTGTGCATTGTCCTGATGCATCATCCATCTCTGCAGATCCTTCAAAACATCATTCTAAATGTTCTTACATAGATAGAAAATGCAATATGAGGCTCTAATCCAGTAATACTTGTGGTTGGCTATTTGTAATTCCTCTGAAGCCCAATTTAGCACTGTTGCAGTAGTTGATAGTGATACCAATGCAATTATACAGTTTTTATAAGCAAATTTGATAGCTATACATATCTTGTACACACTTTATACTAAATACTTATTTTTTTATTTAATTAATTATATTTGAAAAAAATCAATACCTTTATTCAGCAATGACACATTAATTTCAAATAAAGGTGACATTTCTAATTTTACAAAAGTCAAATAAATACTGTTCTTTTGAATTTTCTATTCATCAAAGATTAAAAAAAACATTTCATTTTCATTTAATTTTCCTCAAAAATGTTAAGCAGCACAACTGTTTTTAACATTGATAATAAAAAATGTTATTAAATCAGCATATTATGATTTCTGAAGGATAATATGACACTGAAGACTGGAGTAATGATGCTGAAAATTCAGCTTTAAATCATAGGAATAAATTACATTTTAAAATATGTAGTAGAAAACAGTTATTTACATATATTTAAAAAAACAATTAAATGCCGTAAAATATATTGCAAGTTTTATTGTATATATATTTTTTTGTATTTAAATAAATGCTGCCTTGGTAAGCAGAAGTAATAAGAAATTACAACATTTATTGCCCACGGATGCATGAAATTAAACAAAAGTGACAGTAAAATCTTTACATTTTAAGAAAAAATAATAAATTTCAAATAAATGTTGTTATTTTGTACTTTGAATTTTTTTTTTTGCCGTTTCCACAATCATATTAACCAACACAACTATTTCCAACATTGATAATAATAAGTGTTACCAACTTGTGTTATGAGCCAAATCAGCATATTAGAATGATTTCTGAAGGATCATGTGAAGATTTCAGCTTTGATCACAGGAATAAATTACATTTTTAAGTATATTCAAATAGAAAACATAATGATGCTGAAAATTCAGCTTTAAATCATAGGAATAAATTACATTTTAAAATATGTAGTAGAAAACAGTTATTTACATATATTTAAAAAAACAATTAAATGCCGTAAAATATATTGCAAGTTTTATTGTATATATATTTTTTTGTATTTAAATAAATGCTGCCTTGGTAAGCAGAAGAGACAAATTTCAAAAATATTAAGAAAATCTTACCGACCTCAATATGGAGTTATTTATATGCCGTTTAATTTCTTTTTATTCAGTTAGTCAGTTAGTGACGCTGTACTCAAAATCAGTGGCGTGCCATGATGCGGTCACATAATCGCATAATACGTCCTTTGGATTTGAGTGTTCAGCACAACTCCGCAATAACACTTTACTGATACAGGAGTCCAGTCTCTCTGCTGCATTCAGATTGCCTTGCCTGAATGCATTTGTGGACTTGTTCTGATTTATATATGCAGGATTAATAAATCTCGGCTGGACCGTACCGCTGTACTCTCTTACATACTTCACTCTGAATGTCTTAGTGGAGTGTAGTGAGGAATGAATTCAGCTTAGATTTGTTTATATGCTGGTCTGTACCTATCATACCCAGCTGCATTGAGCTTCTCAATTTCATCTCCATGCATTTGAAATTTCCAAAAAGGTCAGTCTTTTTTACAGTGAGCTGATTGGAGAGAAGCAGGCATTTTTCACATGACTATTTTAATAGCTCAGCGGGTTTAGCATCTTGAGCTGTCGATGTGTTTAATAGCTGCAGAACGCTTTGAACATCACTGTAAAGCTCCTTCCCACTTCCTCCCCAGTGCTTTTTGGAGATGAAGACTTCATCTTTCTGTGCTCTGACTCTGCTTTTCATGTCAGAGTGGAGGATTGAGTATATGTTCTCTCTCAGATTATACTGGTGCAGGAAGCTTGGCTTTTTTACATGCACAAACACGTTTTATTTCTTTTGTAGTTTTTCCGCTCTCTTCTCTTTCCTCTTAGTCTTCCAGAATTCTCCTCACTATATTAAAATAAGACAGGGATCCAGGTAGTGACTTTAATGGTTGCTAATGCAACAAAATGTTTATGGCAATAATTTAACATCTAGCCAACTTTGATGACAGTCTGGAAGGTTTTATGCATGTCAATTTATGTGTTTTCTCAGATATCATCTTGTAGGCTGCCGTTAGCTGACAACCTGAGCCAACTGATGAAAAAATTACTCTCATGAGCCTAGTTCTTTTAATGCATCAGTCAAAAAGATTCTCGCAGGTCAGTTTGAATCGGACTGTCATTTGAGAACCGTGAACCGAAAGTCAGTTTTTAGTTGTCTGGTTTGAAATGAACTTGGAACCATTCCTATATATGTTTTAGGTTTGTGAGACTTGCAACAGTTTATTTACTAACTTATTCATATAACAGTATTTGTTAGTTCAAAAAAGTCATGTGGCTTCTTTCTTTTTTTTTTTTCTTTTTTTTTAAAGTCTGGTTCCCCCTGAAAAGCATTGCATGTTGATTTTCATAATCTTTCTTTGTGACTTGTCTGCACTTGTATTTTATATATATATATATATATATAATAAAACTAATAATATTGACAATCATATTAACCAACACAACTATTTCCAACATTGATAATAATAAGTGTTACCAACTTGTGTTATGAGCCAAATCAGCATATTAGAATGATTTCTGAAGGATCATGTGAAGATTTCAGCTTTGATCACAGGAATAAATTACATTTTTAAGTATATTCAAATAGAAAACAGTTATTTTAAATTGTAATACCATTTCAAATGTTTACACATTTTATCGTATTTTTAATCAAGTAAATGCAGCCTTGCTGAGCAAAAGGGAATTTCAAAAACATAAAAAAATTAAAAACCCCAAACTTTTGAATGCTGGTGTATTTGCCAAATAGCTATTTACATATCCATTTACACTACTTTAGAAAATATTTTGGAATTTGCCCAAATTTTGCCCGAACTGATGCAAGTGTTACTCTGTGTTCATTTATTTGGAGAACATACATTTGGAAAATGGGATTTCAGGATTCACATCTCTTCTTTAACCAATGTGGTTTCATGCATATTAAAGACTTTCTGAAAGTCAGATCTGGAGCAATTTACTTGCTGTGCTAGAAAGAGACACGTCTGTGTGTTCACCAAGGCATGGTGGTTTCCCCATTACCCTCCTTTCCCAACTAATTCCAGATGCATTTGCATGGAGATGGAGTGCAGGAGTAAGACTCAGAGGTCCCGCTTTCGTTCGCTTTCGTTAACCCTATTGAGGATATACAGTGTGAATTACATTCATATTTTCACATACAGAAAGGTTAGCCAATCAGAACAATGCCATTTACATACAGACGTCTTAAAGGTACAATAGCAAAAACGAAATTATTGGTTTTGGTGCAAGAAAAACCTGAAAATATAATGCTGCAGAAGTCTAGGGGCTGGAGGATGTTGGCATTCTCCTCAACACTGACCCCGTGTGCAACCAACTTACAAAGTCACACAAAGGGAGGGTGAGAAGTGGAATTAGCAGTGAATGGTACTTCAGATTGACCGGCCAGAGAACAGAGCTGGTATCATGATCAGATATCACCACCTGTGCCAGCTGCACCTGTAGCCTGTGTTGTGTGTGTGTGTGTGTGTGTGTGTGTGTGTGTGTGTGTGAGAGAGTGTGGGTAGGGTTGGTGTAGGGCGATAGAAAATACAGTTTGTACAATATAAAAACCATTACGCCTATTTACACAAATGCAAGTATGTGTGCGTGTGGTCCTGGTTTTCCCATACATTATGGGGACCAAATGCCCCCATAAGGATAGTATTACCAGTAAATTTTGACCATGTGGGTACATGTTTTTGGTCCCCATTAGGGAAAACATCTTATAAATCATACAGAATGAAGTGTTTTGAAAATCTAAAAATGCAAAAAGCTTTGTGTGAGGGATAGGGATAGGGTAAGGGATAGAAAATACACTTTGTACAGTATAAAAACTATTACGCCTATGGAATATCCCCATAAAACACGGAAACCAGTGTGTGTGCACGAGAGGGAGAGAGAGACTGTGGACAAACAGGTAATTTAACCGCAAACACCAGAAATGTGATTGCAAATGAATTGTATTGTAACTCTTTTTTTTTTTTGTTTATTTTGTAACTATATTTTTAGTTTATCATTTTTAAAGTGACCGATCTTTTTGCATATGTGTACAGTACTGTGTATTTACTTACGGTTACATGTATGGTAAGATTTATTTATTTATTTAATTTAAAAGAAAAAGAAAATAAATTACTACTTTTATTCAGCAAATGTGCATTAAATTGATCAAAAGTGACAGTAGAGACATTCATAATACTACAAAAGATTTCTGTTTCAAATATAAACTTTCTGTTAATCAAATAATTCTGAAAAAATAGTTTCCACAGAAAAACATGTTTTGTTTTCAACATTGATAATGATAGACAGACAGACAGACAGACAGACAGACAGACAGATAGATAGATAGATAGATCACCATAGATCAACCACCAAACTATGAGTATTAGCAGATGTTGTCTTAAATAATTGGATATTGGCTCACAAATGTTGTATCAGGACATCCATGTTTAAACGTGTTAAGTGGCTTTTTCTGCACATGGATTCACATCATGTCTGTTCATTCATCATTGACCCGGAAGTGCAGGTGCTCTGAACTAGCAAGCGTTTAATTGGTGCTTCTGAATAAGGCATCACTTGATGTCATTCACATGATTGCTAGCGTGTGAAATGATTATGAATTGCTCTGTAGTCATAAAGCATCTGCATCGTTCCTCAAAGTTAATTCAAGTTCCTCTACATTAAGGAGATTTCCACTGAGGATTTCCACGGCTCCAAAGCGCACAGATTTCTTTTGATTGCTCGTACGCTGCTGCTGGAATAGAGCTGTTGTTTTGTGGACGTCCCTTATTAGGGGCTGATTTTCTCCTCTGCCGTCATGAGGAATCTCTCCACAACTGGAATCAAAGTTTTATTCTCAGATGCCTTTGTGAAATTGGATAGTTCTAAAAAACATTATTTCTTTGCAAACTTTGCAAAGTCTCTGGAGCTGTGAGTCATATAAGCTTTTATTACTGCTGTTTGCTAAGGCAAACATCGCCGATACATACGTGCGGTTTGGGATTTAAACGCAAAGTATACAATTTCGCTTGTGGTTCGAACATGAATGATGCCTAAAGACAGTGAAAAAATGATGCAGAAATATGACACATTAGTTAGCTAAAGAAAATCTGATGATGCAACTTGGTGTAGTGTTCAGATACATTTTGGAGCAACTTGAATGTGCAACCTCTATTTGTTTCATTGTCACATTATCCCATCCGTACAAGAATAAACCATCTGTGTGTGCTGTTCTCAGAGATCTGATTTCAGTCTATACTGTAGGCTGATAATGAGAGAAGAAGAGTTAAGTGGATTGGAAAGAGACAGAGCGAGAGATAAAAAGTGGACGGAGACAGATTGATCCACCTCACCCCTTCTGCATTCAGCTGCCGTTTCTTCACTCTAAATTATTTGGGCAGTTTTGCTCGAGCTTATTCCCCATCTGCCTCCCTCCTCACTTTATCACAGAATGAGCAGATGAGACTTAAAGTGGTTCAGATCGCTCATGTTTGAGCAGAGTGAATGATGACGGACAGTGACGGACAGTTTCTGTGTCTGTGTAGATATATTCATCCGAGCATTAGATGTCTCTTATTTGATTCGGAGCAGATCTGCACCTTCCTTCAGAGTCTGTCTTGGATCAGAAAGTGTTAGTTTGATGCACAGGACGTTTATGATTATTCCTCATGGCACAATTTTCTTGCACCAGCCAAAACTGAATGACTTACAGTTCTGCCTGTCCACCGAAGTGCTGTGTGACGAGAAAATCACAGCCGATCAAAACGTATTTGATGTTTAATACAGAGTTAAGAGGAGCAGGATTTTGCAACAATATTTTAGTGTAGGCTAGTTAGGACAAGAACTCTTAAAGGGATAGTTCACCCAAAAATGAAAATTCTGTCATTAATTACTCACCCTCATGTCGTTCCAAACCCGTAAGACCTTCGTTCATCTTCAGAACACAAATTAAGATATTTTGGATGAATTCTGAGAGCTCTCTGACCCTGCATAGACAGCAAGGGTCCTACCACGATCAACGTCCAGAAACATAGCAAAGAGATCGGTAAAATAATCCATGTGACATCAGGGGCTCAACCGAAATTTCACAAAGCTACGAGAATACTTTGTACACAAAGAAAACAAAAATAACAACTTTATTTAACAATTCGTCTCCTCCGCGTCACCCTGGTGCCATTTTGGAGTCAGCCAGTCTGTGTCAGCTGCGTCATGCGGATACGTCGTTTTCATTCAAATCAAAGCGTAAACAACGTAGAAAATGTATCCGTGTGGCGCAGCTGACACAGAATAGCATACGCTGTTTACGTTCATTGGATAGTCTCCAAAAGGGTGACGCGGAGGAGACAAATTGTTGAATAAAGTCATTATTTTAGGCTGATAATCGATTAACAGATGACGTGATCACTTATATCTCTATCACGCTGTACATTATTAGGACACTGCGATGAGCTTTTGATTATTGTCTGTTCTTTTTTTTTTCATTGGTTTTGTTTTGTTTGTTTTGAGTATTTTTTTATTTATTTTTTTAGCATTTTGTCGTTTGCATTTTATTGTATTCTTTGTTTTAGTAGCTTAGTTTTTTGTGGTTTGCTTTTTGTTGCTCATGATATTGGTTTTGTTTATTGGTTTGGTTGGCGTTTTATTTTATTTTATTTTTTGTGGTTTGCTCTGTATTGTTTTTTTTTTGTGGTTTGCTCTTTGTTGTCAGTGTTTTATTGGTTTTGTTTTGTGGTTTGGTTTTTGTTGGTTTTGTTTTGTGGTTTGCTTTTTTCTTGTTAGTATTTGATAGATTTTTTTTGTGGTTTGCTCTTTGTTTTCAGTGTTTTATTGTTTTTGTTTTGTGTTTGAGTTTTTGTTTTGCTTGTGTTGGTTTTGTGATTTGCTTTTTGTTTGTGTTTTATTCTTTTTGATGTGTATTTGAGTTTTTTTTGTTTTGCTTTTTGTTGCTTGTGTTGGTTTTCTTTTGTGGTTTGCTTTGTGTTTTATTGGTTTTGTTTTGTTTCTTTTGATTTTTTTTGAATGGTTTGCCTTATTTTATTTTATTTTATTTCTTCTTCTTCGCTTTGGGTTAGTTTTGGTTCGTGGATTGTTTTTGTAGTGCTAGTTTTGTTATGGTTATGATTTTATTTTATTTTTGGTTTAGCAGTGAAATGCTCTTGTTGAAGTGGGGATTGCATCTGAATGATTTTGTTTCAGTGTGTGTCTTTGTTCGAATCGACTCTCTCTCACAATCGGCACATAATGACAGCCAGTTCTCAAAGGAGTGATTATTTTCTCAACAGCATACAGTTTATGGTTCATGTAATGGGTACAGGCAAACACAGAAGCGCAGTTTGTTGGGCACTGTAAATCGGTTCAACATCTCAAAACACAGCACTCACTTGCTGTAAATTCCTGTCATGCACTGTCTGTCCGAATCAAGTTTATTATATTCTAGACGTCATTTGATTGATAGACACTTCAGGTGCATGAAGGGTCATGCACAGTGTTTCCTGCTAAATGAATGGAGTGTATAAAGGGATTGTGTGTGTGTGTGTGTGTGTGTGTGTGTGTGTGTGTCTCGTTGTGAGATCAGCACCTCAGATTACTCTCTGCGCTGTCTTACATCGATCGCTCAGATGCTGCTGTGTTAGACACACTGTGTTTAGATTATATGGCATTGATCAATAAAGAAACATGAAACACGCACACTCATGCGCACAAACAATGTGAGATGTGTGCCTCTGTCCTACCCGATATATATTGTGTCCTCAATCCATAAAGTGGAGACCTTCTGTATGTTTGTTGATTAAAGTAGAGCTGGTTTAGAGATGACCATCGATGCTGCTATTTTTATGGTGCTTTGCAATACATTGAATTAAACCTTGTTTTTCAGACAAAAAAATACATTTACCAACTGGTGCATTATTGCCACACACTATTGATATGGGCTTGTGCATTTAGGTTGTGTATTGTGGCGTTGTGTATATTGTATTTTTGTCTAGTTTTTCACCTGATAGCTGTGTACGTATGTTTGTGTAGGGAAATGACGTAATGGAAGAGCAAGACCTGAGAGAAATTGGCATCACGGATCCGGCACATCGCAGGAAGATCCTCAGTGCTGCACGTTCTCTACCAAAGGTTTGTGCGAGTCTACAATGCTTTGCAGAGGATTGTCACATGATGCTAATAATCACTTGCCCTTAACAGTATTATTTTGTAAGATTTTCATCATTTTATTGATTCATCATTTATCATTTCATCAGTTTATCTGTACTGGGTCTGAAGTAAGTTCTCTGTTGGTTTTGAACTCTGCAGGTGAAAGCATTAGGCTGTGACGGCAGCACGTCCCTCGCTGCGTGGCTGGACGTCCTGGGTCTTCAGGAATACCTGCAGAACTTCCTGTCGAGCGGCTATCGCACGCTAGAATGTGTGAAGAACCTGTGGGAGCTGGAGATTGTCAATGTGAGAACGTGATGCATTCAAACATTTACAGTATAGACTTTTTTGTTGTTGTTTGTTTTATATCAAGTGTTATATGAAGTATTTACGTAGTTGGCTTTTACTTTATTTTTAAAAATTGAATTGAATTATTCGGTTGAGAGCAGGGTATTTATGTTGCTTAATAGACATTGTGTAATTGTTGCCTTTACGTGCATTTTATGTCTGTTTTTAGGTGCTGAAGATCACGTTGTTGGGCCACAGGAAAAGGATTATTGCGTCATTAGCTGAACGGCCGTATGAGGAGCCTCCGGTCAAACCACCCCGCCTCTCTCAGATCAGAGTAAGTACTGCTGTATGCTATAATATTTTATGATATTACGCATTCTAGAATAGATTTTAGGCTTTAAGTAGACCATTAGGAGTAAACAAAAACAAGAGTCTGAGGGTGGAATTACAGTTTGTTCAAAATGTAGTGTTTTTTTGTTGTAGGTTTGGTCTCTTTATTAAAATATTATCAATATTTTGGCATGACAAATTGATTAATTTTGCTGAGATGGCATGTGTAATTTTAGTTGACTATAATAATTTGCAAAATGAGAAAAAAAGTCAAACTGTTAACAGACCAAATATTTGATCTGTAAATGTGTATTAATTTAATTATGTTTAAAAAAATTCAAAAGTTGTTTGTTAATTCAAAAGATTAACAATCGTGTCACGTCTTTTTTTTGCAAACCATGCCTTCCAGTGTTTTAGTTTACTAGAAATTTGCAAGATGTATTTTCTGTTTCCTCTGCTGAATCGTCCAGGTCGAAAACAGTGTTACTTATTGAACAGACCGCATTTCTGTCTTTCACAGAAGGGTATTGGATGAATCTCACAATGAAATTGCTCATATCTCACACCAAAATAATAATATTTAAAAAAAATAAAAAAATGTATTATATTTTGTATGAAGAATATACAAGAAACTCATTTTAAGGTCCTTTTAAGGTTGCATTTCCCTAATTTTCCCCTTATATTTTTTGAACAAGCTGACGCTGCTGCTAAGGAAGCACTTTCCACAGATATTAAAGTGTTCCATACCACCCTCACATCTTAAAACTACCATAGCATCTTATCTCATCAACAAATGGAAAAAAGAATGGAATCTGAGAACGAACAACAAACTATATGAAATTAACCAAACTGTGGGTAAAAGTCGCATATTTTCAGTAATTGCTGAGATGAGATACAGTACATGATACAGTACATGATGGCCAAATAGGACATTCCAGAAAGTTCTTAATATCATTAAAAAAAGTCTGCTATACTGTTCATGACAGAGTCCAGGATTTCTTAAACTAACTAATATTTTATTAAATTATGCTGGTTTAAGTTCTCTTAGGGAATTATATTTCTCAGCAAATGTTTTCAAAGAGTTTTTATCTAAAGAAAACTTTATAAACCTCACATATAAACATGTTACTCGTCATGCAAATAGCAAAGGAAGCTGGCATAATGTTAAAAACTTTCATTGCTATAATTCAAAATAAAACAACATACAATTTTTTTTGTAAAAAAAAATCAGTTATGTGAAATTCAATTTCAAATCAGTTCCTTTAGAAAAGTGTGGGACGACATTTTCTGTTTCCTCTGCGGAAACACCGAGGTCAAGACTGCACTTCTGTCCCTCACAGAAGGGTCTTGAAATTTCACAATAAATTTGGTCACATCGCACCCTGAAATAAAAATACATACAAAAAAAATCAAATAAATGACATTTGCATGATGAAAATAGAAGCTTTTTTATTTTATTTTTATTTGAACACTTCCCATCACTTCCCCTTATCTCCAGTACCATAATGCAAAATTCAGTTTAATTCAATTCTCTTTGTCCACTAGAAATTTAGAGGAAGTTTAGTGTTTTCTGTGTGTTTTGCTCTGCTCAATCTCCCAGGTTGAAAACAGTTTGCCTTATTGAACAGACTGCACTTCTGTCCCTCACGGCCTTATTTTTATTCACAACAAATGAAATCTGGCATCAACTCTGATTGCAGTCTATAATAAAGTGCAGTATACTGTAAACTCTCTCTCGAGCTCATTTCTGGGCAAGGACATCTTTCTGGCTGGCTGATCTCCCTCATTGAATGCTTCTTTTGCAGTGTCAGGATCTCATGTCCCAGACCTCGTCTCCTCTCAGTCACTCAGACTCCTACACGCGCTCCATGGATCCCCTGTTACCTGCTGGTGATTCTGGGAGGAGGAGAGGTCCCGACTCAGAATATGACGTGGCTATTCGACAGCGGCCCAATGACAGACCACAACCACAAGTGAGTCAAACTCCACCAATCCTTCTCTTTCTGCTCAAATCATGCACATTTCGGGTCAGTTTATCCTGAAAGCGTGTTTCCTTCCTAAAGGAGAGATTTGAGGAACGTCAGCGGGAGCCTCGCTTGACCTTACGACCCCCGAGTCTGGCGGCGCCGTACACACCGGTCCAGAACTGGCACCATCAGCCCGAGAAGCTCATCTTCGAATCATGCAGTTACGAGGCCAACGTAATCATTTTTCTATCATAAAACAGCCCCTTTATATAATAATAAAGTCATAATTCATATTGAGGTGATGGGTTATGAAATCATCCGAATTTTTGATTGTGTTTAGATAATGTGATTTAACTGTTTGCTTTTGCCAGCTGAGACCAACTGAATTCTCTCTCTCTCTTTACCGGTTTGTCCCGACTCGCTCGTTCTGCAGTATCTGGGCTCGATGCTCATTAAAGAACTAAGAGGAACGGAGTCAACGCAGGACGCCTGTGCTAAAATGAGGGTTGGTGTTCACAGAGTATTCGGCCAATGAGAGCCCAAGGTCTCCTGTGAGGAGTCACGCCAGGACACTGAGATTATTATTATATTCTGGAACGGGCAGCAAGCAGCACTGTCAGGGAAAATGCCGCCCATGCGAGTCCTCTATGGGGCACTAGCGCAAAAAAGGACAGTTTCATAATATACGACTAACAAGGTTTGTCCAGAAAGTGGAAAATGGACTTCCGCTTCATCGCACTGTCCTGTGTGTGAGAGACAGACTGCAGATTTGCACTTCAAAGGCTGTTCTGATAAGCAGCCGTTTATGTCGGTGTTTAAATGGTTAAATAATCAAGCAGAACTGTTTGCTCAGCCGATCAGTACAGGGATGCAGTCAAAATAAGCCGTCTAGTCAGTTGGGCCAGGCACTTAATGAAAAGACCAAAGCATAAACAGTCAGAACTAACAAATGTTTTCTTTGAGTAAATGATAAAAAAGGGCATAAGAAATCTGTCCCTTAAACATTAGCATTGGTTGTTGGGGAATCTCACAATGAAACTGGTCACATCTCACCCCTAAATATTAATGATGATAATAATAAAACAACATTTTAAGGACCATTAAGGCTTTTAGCATTATGACATTTATTGTCATAATAATTAAGTACTCCCTTTCCCCTCAATTCCTCATTACCATAATGTAAAACACTAATTCATTATTTGTTTTAATTGATATTTAATTATAAATGAGTAATAATAATAACAATTTTATTAAATTAAATTTAGTGCAACAAATACTGTCATGGTGCCTAATACTATTTTTAAATATTATGTTTACCGTTTAGTTTATTTTTTTATAGATTTTTCATATTTATTTATTTGTTTGTTTGTTTTTAACAGCAGTAGCTCTCAATTTGTTTTATTCAAAGGTGTCCATTGTCCGACATAATATTTGAAGGTCTCAATATATGAATAAAAAGATATTTTCTTTATTTTTTTTCACCTGTAACTGTGACAAAGCTGCTTGTTTTCAGACTTTTTTTTATTAACAGACACTGGAAGTGTTGATAAATTAAGTTAATTAACTATTCATTTTGTAATTCCAGAAGTTTTGAAGCTACATGAAAGCAGAATATTATTTATTTTTTTTATTTTTTACATTTGAATTTAGTTACAGTACTAACTATTTAGTATATTAATAGTATTAATTAGTATTTATTTAAATACTTTTAAGCTAACCTGTGCCTATTTTTGATGTTTGCTGAGAAAATTTTGGGACAAAATGTGTCCTACAGTCAATCAATCAATTAATCCATTTGTATTTAAATATTCCAGGCATTATATTAACCCTATATGATGTAAAACACATTGACAATCATCCTATAATACTCTCTCTCTTTCTCTCTCAGAGGTCAACAGAACAGATGCGGAAGATCCCCACCATCGTCCTCTCCATCACGTACAAGGGTGTGAAATTCATTGACGCTGCCAACAAGGTGATGACATCATCCTCCTCTGTCGTTCACCCCAAGCAGGCAGATAAATTAATTGCAGGCATTATGGTTAATTGTTATTCTAAAAAACAACATTATAAAGTATTTTGGGTAGTTTTGAGAAACTGCTTTCAGCAATGAGATTGTGTGTCTGTCTGTTTTATCATCCATCCATCCACCCAATCCATCTGCTATCCCATGCATCCCTCCTCCCCATCCTTCCATCCATGCCGTCCCATTCCATCCACCCAATCCATCCTATCTGTCCATCCCATCCATCATCCCTCCCTCCATCTCTCCAACCAATCCATCCCATTCATCCACTCACCCAATCTATCCTATGCTATCCTATGCCATCCCTTCATCCCAACCTCCCAATCCAACTCATTCATCCTATCCATCCATCTAATCCATCCATCCACCCAATCCACCCCATGCTATCCCATGCCATCCCTACAACCCATTCATCCTATCCATCCATCTCTCTCTCAATCTATCCCATCCACCCAATCCATCCAATACTATCCCATGCATCCCTCCTCCCCATCCTTCTATCCATGCCGTCCCATTCCATCCACCCAATCCATCCTATCTGTCCATCCCATCCATCATCCCTCCCTCCATCTCTCCAACCAATCCATCCCATTCATCCACCCAATCTATCCTATGCCGTCCTATGCCATCCTTCCATCCCAGCCTTCCAATCCAACCCATCCATCCTATCCGTCCATCTAATCCAGGGGTGTCAAACTCCGTTCCTGGCGGGCCATAGCCCTGCAGAGTTTAGCTTCAACGCTGATTAATCACACCTGATCCAGCTAATCAAGTCCTTCAGGCTTATTTGAAAACTACATGGTTTGTGTGTTGGAGCAGGGTTGGAACTAAACTCTGCAGGGCTGCAGCCCTCCAGGAACTGAGTTTCCCAGCCCACCCATCCATCCCATCCCATGCCCTGCCATGCCATCCTATCCATCCATCTCATCCATCATCCCTCCATCCATTCATCCATCCATCCCATTTATCGCTTGATCCCATCATTCCCCCAATCTGTCTCATCCATCTAATTGTGTTTTTCAGTATCAACTGATATTGATTGTTTTAACCAGAGATGGGCACTCGAGTTAGTGACTCGCACTCCAGTCGCATTTTTATAGACTTCAGAAGTCTTGAGTTGAGGAAAAGGACTCGTGAATATTTTAAAAGCAACTCAAGTCTCTTATCCATAAATACTTCTATAACTGATATTCAAAAGGTGGACCAATCTGCACCCCGGCATCCATCTGAACCACGAGCCGCAACAGAAGCACCATTTTAAGTGAGCAGCATGTCAAAACAGTGGAGCGGATCACATAACAAGCCTTCAGGGTCGTTTAAGTAAATATCTTTCAGCGCTATATCCTCTAGTATTTTTATCTAAAGCCAAACGCGCTTTATTCAAGCCCTTTTAGCTCTGCGCTTTCTCTCTCACTCCGGACGCGCGCCGGTGTTGTGCCGAATTCTGCACCCCTGCCAGATTATGCACCCCCTCGTTGAAGTCGCCAATCTATCCTATGCCGTCCTATGCCATCCTTCCATCCCAGCCTTCCAATCCAACCCATCCATCCTATCCGTCCATCTAATCCAGGGGTGTCAAACTCCGTTCCTGGCGGGCCATAGCCCTGCAGAGTTTAGCTTCAACGCTGATTAATCACACCTGATCCAGCTAATCAAGTCCTTCAGGCTTATTTGACAACAGAAAAGCAGCAAAATTATAGATTACTTTCACTAAAACACAGCAGAAAACAACAATGCTGCAAATTGCAAATATTTTCATACTATCCATTTCTACCTATGACTC